TAATCATCCAAAACCTTATGGAACACATTAATTAACTGAAAAATGTTGCATAGTGTGCCTTTAAGTCAAGAAGACACTTTTTTTCTCCTCTCAGGATCCCAAAAATTCACCCAAGGTCAGAGTTGTGATGCTCATTTAATATGAACATTTTATTTATTTATAGTAGATATTTGTCAGGAACTATAGGTTGTCTTTCATTGAAAAGGCAATGATAGGTTGGTGGCAGTACATTTTCTTTATCTGGTCTGAAAAAAGGGGTTATTTTGCGATGTATGGTTTGCAGATACCTGGTCTAAATTTGGCCCCAACTGGAATATCATCAGACTCTCAAACCTGCCTCTCCACACATCTTCACCAAAATGGCTACAAAAGGAAAGAACCAGGATGGTGTTATTTCCCAGAATGTATGGTCCTGTGTTTCTTAAAACTTTCAGAATTTTGTTAATCTGTGGATGATTTATACCTGACTTTTAAGACCTCTTAAAAACTGTTCTTTAATGTTCCTACTGGAAAAACCAGGCAATAAAAATGGGTAAACCTGCTTTTAGCATACCTGCAAACAAACCCATACCCCACTTGAACTATTCCCTTGATGCCTTTAATGCTCCAGAACATTTTAATTTGATGATATTAACTTTTTTTTGGTTTTTTGTTGCTTTTTTTTCCCCAACACTCCTTTTAAGTTTTTCTGCCTTTAGTTTTTTTTTTCAGACTTTGCCAACATAAAACATGAAATCTGTGATTCTTCAGCAGATGGTACGCATGCAATCTCCCAAACAGCCTGTGAAACCATCAGCTGAACAGAAGTTAATTATTATTTTTTTCATTCTGAAGGAATTGTTTCAAACCATTTTACCAAAGTCTGGAATGTTCCTCAGGACTGCTGAGTTTTCTATTGTTTTCTATAAATAAACTGTTTCATCTTTATTACACTCGTGAGCCTTAATTTATTACCTGAACACCACCATACCTGCTTACATCACAGATCATATTTACAGCAGTCTGCATCAGCAGAATTGTCTTCTTGGAGTCTGATCCTCGTATAACAAGAAGCAACATAAGTGCTGATTCTGCTGCAGCCTTTAGGGGTTTCAGTTCATCAGAGTCTATTTACAGGCCGTGCTGATAATGCTCTGTCCCTGTTGGCTGGAGCTACCTAAAGCTTAACGTTCCAATAAAGATCTAATGTTGTCTAGTGAAGGTGGTAATATCAGTTAGTCTGGTGAAAATGCATTGCAGATTAAAAACAAATAAAAATGATGCGTTCCAATTGAGAAAAGCTTGTTTATACCCGATTTCAATGGGATGAAATTTAACAAAGTGTTATGTTTGGACCAGGTACCTTTTTTTTTTTTTTTAAAGGCTCTTACTGCCTTCCAGTGTTCAGCTAGTTAAAATAATCAGATGGCAGGTTGGTTTCAGATTGAGCTTCTCCATCCTGTAACTGTAAAGGTGAGTAACTGTTATCCTCATGGGAGATCGAGCTATGTTTATTGGTGCTTATTGCTGCATTTAAGTTGGCATTGGAGAAACAGCGCTCATGTTCTGCAATGTTTGACAACACCAAACAAATCTGTCCCAGGTGTTTTTCTTATATAATCAGGGGAGGAAACCATGGATACTGCATTGTCAAATATGTGGGCAGGTACTGTTGGAGTATCCTTTTTGTCATGCCTTATTATATCCAAATTCTTTAATAAAAAATAGAAAATTGTATGCAAATTTTTTTTTTTTTTACTTCCCTGCTGGATTAGTCCCAGCTGATGAAAGCATGCAACTCAAGTTAAGGTTTGACCAGAGTTCACTTGTTTCAACATATTTCAATTTTTACTGCCTTTCTTTCCAAACAATCATTGGTATTAAATGGAGGCTAGTGGATGATTTGGAGATGTAATGGCCCAGATGCAACTCTTTGCTGTGTGTGGAGGCAGCATTAACTTAGATATATAGAACTATTTGATAAGTCATAATCTAATTAAAAAAAAGCACTCAAATATGTTCCTCATGTTTAAACAATAAAGAGTAAAATACTATAATACTATTTATTTATGGTTTTAATGGCTGCTAATTTTTTTTCTTAACGTTCGGACTGAAAAAAAAAATGCTCTGATTAAAGGTTTGATTTATTTATTTTTTTTTTTTTATAACGAAAGTGAAGCCAAGTGATTGCAGTAAAGAATAAACTGAAAACTTGTGGATATCCTCACCATGGTTGCTA